GTCCAGCTCCAGACCCCCAGTGTTGGGCTGGCAGATTTTTTGGGATTGCCAACGAAGGCTCAGCATCACTTCTGAGAAGGAACAAATCAGTATAATTGCTATCTGTTTGAAAATAAAAGGTGGGACACACCAATTAAAATAAAAATCAATGCCAAGTCTCACCCATCAGACTGTCAAATTATTAAAGCCTGAAGCAATATTTGGCATTGGGGGGATGTGGGGAGTCTTGTGCACCATGGGTGTATATTTGTACAACCCCTTGGAGAGCAGTAAACGGGTGTTCACTGCATCATTTATTTGTAACAATAAAGTATTGAAAATAATATAAATTATTTTAGATTTTAATCCCTCCAAATGAGAATAGAGAAATAAATTTATTCATCCAGTAGTTTGAATGAATGAACTGGAACAAGAATCAATGTGGATAAACCTCGAACACATAATATTTAGTGAAAGAAGCAGAATGATACATAAAGTACTACTGTATACAGTTACAGGCACAACTCTACTGAGTTTATGGATACAAAAATACGTAATATAATATAAAATGATAAAAACACACAAGCCTCCGAGAGAGTTTACCTCTGGAGAGGAAGAGACAGGAGTGGGACTTAAAATGTGTTGCAGTGTTTTATTTTCTTCAAACTTTCTCTAAAGAAAATATGATAATGATAACATTTGTTAAGTCTGGATGGTAAACACATGAGTCTTTGTTGTATTGCTTTCTGTGCTTTGTTGTCGGTTTGAAATGCTTCATAATAAATTTAAAATGGAACAAATATTTTTAAATATTCTATTTTATGGTCCCATGAAGACATGCATATGTAATGAAATGTGTTATAATTGCTGGTTCAGAAAATGTGATCATTGAGGCCAATGAGAGATGCTTTTCATACGTTCAAGGTGCCTGTGGACTGAGAGCATCCTTATGAGGATGGGCCACGAAGCACCACTTGACACTTGCACTGGGCTAAAGTCATCGGGGATGCATTAAGCCCACTCCCATGTTGCCATAATCGTATCTCCCTCTGATCCTGACTCACCTTTCCTTCTGGGCTTGGAGCTGATTGTGGCCTTGACACCCTGACCACATAT